AGAGCTGTAAGAGTCCCCAATAAATTCATTAACAACAATAACAACAACAACAACAACAAGAGAACACATCCTCAGGCACCAAGCATTTCCATGTAGCCTTCTACTCAGTTCCAGACACTACCCCCACCCCAAGCCTTGGCCTTGGAAATGTGTCCTGGGGTATGGTGACCAGGAGGCCAAGGAGTGTTGAAAAGCAAGGATGCTAATTTGAGGGCTAAGGTGCACCTGAACCAAGCCACAGCATTTTCAATTGCCTTAGATGCATGTGATAGTTGGACATTAAATAAGAAGACCGAAGAAGAATCAATCCATTTGAATTGTGGTTCTGGTAAAGAACATTGAAAGTATCATGGACTGCCGAAGAAGAAACAAGTCTGTCTTGGAAGAAATATAGCCAGAAGGCTCCTTAGAGGCAAGAAGGCAGGACTTCAGCTCATGTGCTTTGGACATGTTGTCAGTAGAGACCATTCCCTGGAGAAGGACATCAGGCTCAGTAAAGCAGAGGGGCAGCCAAAAGGAGGAAGGCCCTTGACAACATGATTGACAAAGAGGCTGCAACAATGGGCTCAAACAATAAGAACAATTGTGAGGCGGAGCAGGACCGGAGCAGTGTTTCGTTCCATTGTACATGGGGCTGCTATGAGTCAGAACTAACTTGACAGAACCTAACAACATCATCCCCTTCTCTTCATCAGCAGAGCAACTTAAAATGTTTAGCTCAGTGATACTACATGTGGGGTGATGGCAGTGGTGGTGGTGGTGGCCCAAAGCAGAATCTCTCCATGGGAAGGGAGCACATTCTCAGGCCTCCTTTCTATGGGGGTCTGTCACCCAAACAATAGGTCCCTCTTTCCCTCCCTTCCAGTGAGCCTTTCTAGATCTCTCAATGCATGTGAGCGCTTCCACCCCATAATTAATTTAGCTAAGTAGTGAACATGTCAAAATAGGGGATTGATAAATTGGTGACTAAATGTATCTATATATGACTCCTATTATAATGAAAAGGCATTTATAGAATGCCCACACAGGTGACATTCTAAGCTCTGCAAAATGCTAATTATCATCCTTCCCTCCGGCCTCCCTTCTCCCGAATCAAGGGCAGTTTTTAAGTCCTTCATCCTTTTTATTAGCTTGACTCGTTTTAGAAGTCTCTGGGATTCATGATGGATGATTACCACCCTGCGTCTTAATCAGAAGTCCAAACACATACTCAACAGTAAGTACCTCCTTGCAATTTCTCAAAGACCAAGTAAAACCTTGCGTCATCTTCAAAGAATTCAATCAGCTCCAAAATGTTCCTTAAATTGGGAAAAAACAGGAGAGGGGGTTAGACAAAGAGGGAGGAATGGCATCATGTTAACGTCTGCTTACAGATATACAACAACCACAAAAGCCATACACAACATCCTGTAGCAGGGCAGACATCAAGCCGAAATTGGAATGCTTATTAAAGACTGGGGTTTGGGAAGCAGCCAGTGGTGTTAGCAAGATTCAGGTCACCTTATCTTTCCATAATGTTTAGTCTCTGGTGTTTTCGCCAAGTCTGTGCTGTCAAAGCCCAACCCTAAAACCCACTAGGTAGAGTTATAAAAAAGTCCCGGTCACATTAAACTGAATAAAATCTGCAGCGACTGGAAGCAATTGCGGCTAATAACACTGAATAGTAGGTGTGTGTCCTGGAGGCAAGAAGCAAATAATTACTTGCCCTCCCTCTTGCCCATAAATCATGGGGCAGTATTTACATTGCCTGGAGAAAATGGAAACATCTGTCAAATAGACTTGGGGCCTAACGTGGGCACCGCTAGGCCCTCACTGCTAAGCGCTGCTTAATGAAACGCTGCGTCCCTGGCCGCGGTGGCACTTGCGCCTTCCCCGGCGAGCACTCTGCCTGCCAGAGCACTACAGTGCTCTGCCAACAAGGTCGTCTTGTAACTCAGTAGGGAAGCCACCAGCCTGGATATAGGAGGTGTTGGGGGCCATTTTCTCTTTTAAAGAACGAAATAAACCAAGTAGAATCTCTAATGCTGAGCTAAGAAGCTGCAGGGCTGAAAATAAAAATCTGTCCCTCATAAAAAAATGCTTACCACTTTGGGAGACACCACCAGGCGTTTACTAGTATGAAGGCGGCCAAATAAGATGGTCAGAATGGCCTAATTTGAGAGAAGGCTGTGGAGGCAGCTTCTGGAGTTAAATCAACAGCGGGCCCCCATCCTCCCAGCTTAATGACAAAGCCATCAATACCAGGCCACTGGCTCCCTGCTGACCGGGCCATGCAGGGAGGGAGAGGGGGAATCAGTCTTTGAGGTGACCCTGATTTAAAGCCACAGTGGGAGAGTCATGCAGTTGGAGCTGGTGGTGGACTAGACTGCCTGGACTGGACGTTACCTTGGCCCAGTTATTAAGCTGGGGGGTAAGACCAGGCTTCCCGACCCTTAGTGTAGCTGCCCATATGTGTACAGGCTAGGGATGGAAAGACAGTAGCGACTATTCCGAACAGTTCTCATGATCTATTTCCTTAAACTTAGCCGAGTTTACCACAGGCACTGGGGGAAAAAAAAATCCATCTTTTGTGTCCCAAACAGGCCACTGAGTCATCGTACTCTCTCTTCTAATTTGCCTGCGCTGCTGACATTCATACTATTTCAGCCCCAACAGAAGATGGACCGACCCCTTGGCTGCGGCGTCTTCTCCCCCTTCTTCTCTTTACCAGTGAAAGCTGGAAGGCGCCGAGTGCAGTTGTGCAGGAAGGAGTGAGAGCTAAATGCTGGGGTCAGGAGATGGAAAGAAGCAACTGCTCTTTCTGTGGCCAAGCGTCACACTAGGCTCCAGCCACCCCCCATCCCCCCTACCGCACCAAGGGACCCAACATTGTACTCACTTGTTTCCTTGACACTGATAGAGTGTCTCCACCTCTCTAAACACTCTACTCCGACTGTGTCCTGCTTGCTTTTCGATGATCTGTGGGAAGAATAAGAGTTGGCATGTGCATTACTACCCCACCTCCATGACCTCACAGGCGCCTTCTAGGAGACTGCAAGGCCAAATTCAGTCCAAATACAGGTTCAGGTAGGAGTCTGGAGTGGGCTTTGGTGTCACAGACACTGTGGATCTGTCAACAAAGCAACGGACTGGCTGGCCCACAGCCTTTCCAGTCCAGCTGAGCCTGTTTGAGATCTGGCCAAGCCCAACATCTAGAAAGCCTATAAAACACCCAGGGGAGACTGAGGCAGCTAGCAAGATGTTTCCAGCTCTACTAGAAAGCTGAAAGAGCTTCTGGCTCTGGAGGAATTGTTGGGGGCTGGGGGACACAGAGGAGAGGCACTAAAGCTCCCAGAGCTCAGCTCCAATGCCACTACTACAATGCATCCAGCAGGGATAAGCTCTTCCCCTTCTGAGAACACGTTCCGCAAACACCATACTAAGGGCCTCCGAGACACACCTCATCTCAGTTAACCCTTACGACCATCCAAAAGACAGGAAGAGGCCACACATTTCCCCACAGCTATGGTAAATGACACGGCAGGCATTCTAGTCCAGAGCTGACACCAAAGACCTTGCTGTCCTATACCTGCTTATGCTGGACCCAGATTCTCTTAAAACACCCTGAGGCTTTCCCTCTCCTACATGCTGTGGGCTGACTCCCGCTGCTCCCCTTCTCTGGGGATTGGATAATGAACCAACAGATGAGTAAGTGGTTTATGCGGGGTCTTGTTGATTCGGGAAAGCTCTCTGGACACACTGAGGGCCCCTGACCGCTGTAAGTGGAGCCTGTAGGGAGGTCTTGGCAGCTCCCAAGTGCCAAGTGGGCGGCACAAAAGATTCAGGCTGCCCCTTCTGCAGGGAATACTGCAGCAGAAACATCCATGAGGTCTCAATGAGGCCCGTGTCTGTTAGTAAAAAGCTCTGGGCCCATTTTTTGAAATTGGGGAAATGGAGCACTGAGAAACAGAAGCTATTTAACTCATTCATTCACCAGGCATGATGTCGTGATGAGGCTCTTCTGGCTTGTCTTTGTAATGCCTACCAAATGGGTAGAACGATGCCCATGTGAGGTGTTTGTGACCCTACAAGGGGATGGGCTAGCTTGCTAATAATATAAATAAGGCACAAGACACCCTTGTGGGGTGAGACTAATGTGCATGGAACCCTCATGTGGGGACTGGTCAGTTCTGCCCTCCTGCTAGGTTTAAAACGAGCCATCTCGCTACCATCAAGGAAGAAAAGCCAGGAGTAGAGTCTATCCTCAGGATCCAGAGATCCCTGCACCTCAACTCCTTGATCCAGGAGACAGGGAGCTGTGACACCAGACAGCGGCACCAAGTAATGGCAGAGCAGAACTGAGAGTAGTGCTAGGCTTCCTGGCCCAAAGTGAGGAGCTGAGTGCCTTTGGGCTGGTGGTTTTCTGGCAGAATAGGTTGTCTCCAGGCACTTAATTGGGGGAGTTAGAGCTGAGTGTCTCCTGGCCTCAGCTATCTGACCAAGCGGGAGCTTATTTGGCTGAACTGCATTTGCCCAAGCAGGGCAGAGGCCAATAGGCTATGGAGCCAAGAGGCGAAGAGTTAATAAACGAGATTTGTGACACTTAACCCAAGCAGACCACCAGGGTGATGGCTTGGGTATGCCTGCGAACATGGCTGAGAAGAGGCTGTCCCAAAGAACATTTTCCACTGTGTCCTTGATCCTGAATTGTAACTGAACTAGTTACTTCCCAAATGAGCTCCATGAGCATAAGCACAGTGGAACAGTTGTGTGTGGCCACTGCAGTAGTTCTTGAACCCGCAGAGAAGTAGAGTGCGCTCTGAGAGGAATGGTTGATGAGAGAACTGGGAAAAAGGTTGGAGGGCAAAGGCATGTCTGACCTCTGGCTCATAATTGGTCTTGGGATGCTGTTCATGGTGACTTTCCTCCTCCCCACTTGTGAAGTTAGAGCAGGTCAGATGCTGCCCCCATGCCATTGTTTCACCAGGCATTCCAGGTCAAAATCAGGAAGGACTTTCTCACAGGCAGGCCAGCAGTTTCGCTGAGGAGGCATCATCGTGTGCTGACTAGCAGAGATGTGGAAGGAGAATCTGGACAACTATTTGATGAACTTACAGAGCAACTTCAAGTCCAAATTATTTTGAAATTGAATTCCAACTCTGAGACTCTAAGATTCATCAGTTGCATGCTTTTGGAAAAAGCTTTCATAAAAGAAAGCACTATGGAGCCATGCTGGGAGCAGCTGCTCTAGGATCTAGGAGTTCTCAATAAGGAGGGAGACAGGAGACATGGGCGGGCCTGCCAGAGCAAAAGGACTGTAAGCCAGAGTCCAGTGTTTGCTCAACAATGTCAAGGAGCATGGAGGGAGTGCCAGGTCATCCTCCTGTGAACCTATCTTGATGAAATAGATCTGACATTCACAAATGCTTTGAAAGTTAGTTTACATTTCTAATTTTTAACCACACTTAACCATATTTTTAAAAGTTACTTCTAATTAATGCCAGTGTTTCAAAAAAATAATTGAGGTAAGCTCTCATTACCACAGAAAGCAATGCTCCAGCTGGAAAAAGGGAAAGTGGTTTCTTTTATAATCCACAGCTGGGACTGGGACTGTGGACAGTTGATTAAAAATACGACAAAATGCTTCTTTCATGAGGCTGGGCTTTTCAGTGTGAAGCAACCCTTCCACCTGGTGGTGCCTCAGATGGATGATCTGAAATAAGTGTAAGTTGCTCCTTTGGATTTAAGACCTTTGCTCTGGGAGTGGTTCTCAAACTATGGTGGTACCACAGTCACCTGAGTACTTGGTAAAACTACAACTCCTGATCAACCATCTCAGGCCTTTGTGCTATATTCACTCTACAGGTGGTTCTGACACACACATAGGTTTAAAAGGGCCTTACAACAGGGGGGCTCAAACTTTAGTGAGTACTAGGATCACCTGGAGAGCTTGTTAAAACTCATAGTACTAGGCCCATCCCAGTTTCTGATTTAGTATGTCAGGATTCCAACTCATAGCAACCCAATAAGGCCGAAGAGAACTGCTCTACCGAGACAAACTGCTTCACTTTTGTACCATGGAGTGGCTGGGGTTTTGGAGTGCCAACCTTGCAGTTAGCAGCCCAACGGTGTAACCCATTACACCACTGGGGTGTGGGGCCAGATAACAAGCTCTCAGGTGATGCTGATGTTGCTGACCTACAGACCACAGGCTGTAAGAAGCACTGCTTTAGAGTCATTCCTTGTTCCACGTGGAACAGGGACTGGGAGTACAGGGGCTAAGTGAGCAGCTACTCCAGGGCTACTATGCTCATAATTAAAGGCAGGAATGAGGCTAGCGCCACCTCTTGCCCTAAGCTGGGTGCTCACATTAAGCTTTGTCTCCCATCAGCATGATGATGTTCATCATGTGGATAGTGATTTTGTTATTTGTAAACTCCATCTCAATCAGTTCTATTTGATTTTCATCTTCATAACCACCACCAAGACAGCAAGGGCAGGTACTATCATCTTCAATTTAGACATGTTGCTGCTGAGGATTATGGAAGTGCAGTAACTTGCCTGAAGTCTCATGGTGGTAGTTTGTTACAACAGACTCAGGTTGTCATTAGGTGCCTTGAAGTCAGCTCCAAGCCATGATGATCTTAGGCATAACTGAACAGAATGATGTGCATCCAGACACCATCTTCACTTTTGTGGTTGTTCCCAATATAATCCCAAGTCTGGGTGTCTACTCCCTGAAACTGACTTTGTCAGAAAGCTGCAGCTTGCTTTGAGTCAGGCATGTTCTAAGCACTTTACACATAGAACTTTATTAAATCCTCATGATAATTTTTCATGGGTTCAATTATTATACCCTTTTTACAGATGGAGAAACCGAGGAACAGAGATAAAGTATTTTGCTCAAGGTGATACAGAAAGTAGAGCTCAAGATTTGGAGCTATTTACTACCACTCTAGGGCCCCCATTCGGATCCAGCCACTATGGTGACTGGTAAAATGTGTCTGGATTAGGACAGGCCAGCAATGACTCATTTGCCAAGTAGAACCTGGCCCGAGATGAGACACTCACTTTGACAGCATACTCTTTGCCATTCTGCAGGCTCACGGCACCTTGAACTTTGGCATAGGCTCCCTCTCCCAGCAACTCGGAGGTCAGCTTGTACACATCTAGAGGTGAAATGGATGACAGGAATAACAGATGAGTCAACCCTTTGCAAGCTAAAATGGAAAGAAGAGCTCTGTCACTCAGCTCCCCTGGTGTGACAACAGCACAGGCAGAGCAGGCCCATGATGACACTGCAGCCCTCTGCTACAGCAAGGGAGACCTACAGCTTGGCCAGTCAGCACAGATCTGTTTCCCAACAAGACCTCCAGAAAGAAATCTGATTTCTTGTTTTAGAGACGAGATGCAAGAGTTTCAATTCAGCACACATTTCCTGAGCACCTACTATTGTACCAAAGAGTACACAGACAGAGTGAACTATAAAAAAGTTATATTAGGGGTTAAACTGTGTCTCCCACCAAAATAAGTTCATGTCTTAACCCTGAGTACCTGAGAATATGACCTTATTTTGCAGATGTAATTCATTATGTTACAATGAAGTCATACTGGAGAAGGGTAGGACCTAATCCTACTGGTGTCCTTATAAAAAAGAGAAGCGACAGAGACAGACAGATACAGATGAAAGTCATGTGAAGGCAGAGGCAGAGGTTAGAGGTTGCTGCAACAAGTCAAGGAGTGCTTGGGGCTACTAGAAACTTGAGGAGGAAAGGAAGGAGTTTCCTTCACAAGGAACATGGTCTTGCCAATGCCCTGAATTCTGACTTCCAGCCTCCAAGGTTAGGAGGATAAATTTCTGTTACTGTAAGTCACTCTGTGGCTGATATTTCATTATGGGATCCCTAAGAATCTAATACAACTCCATACCCTCTAAAACTCACAGTCCAGTGGGAAGACAGACACATACACAAGTGAATCCAGAATAAAGCAGGCAATGCTAAGCACCATCAGAGAGGAACAGGATACATGAAAAACAACACACACACACCAAACAGCAGGGAAAGGGAAAGATGAAATCTGTTCATTGAGTCGGGGTCCTCCTAGGAGGGGTGTGAGATGAATGGCATCTTCCTTCATTTAACGAACACCTACCATGTGCCAAGCTCTGTGCCAGACACTGGTGGAACAAAAGGGACTGAACTACTTGCACTGTTTTCGTTTGGAAATCAGTGGCAAGAAATTTCTGAGAAACTTCTGAGAAGTTTCCAGATGTCATCCACAGGAAATAAGAAAACAGAAGTAGGATGCAAAGAGAAGCCTCAAGGTTTTTAGGGTACTGACTCAGAGCAATTCTAGCTGAGTAACATGCCTGGGCTGAAAGCCACTTCTGTGTGACCTGCCCAAGCTCACACATCAGGACGAGCTCTCTGAGCCCCTTTCAAAAGGCACTCCACGCCCACGGGGCCTCCTCCTCCCTTGGCTGGATCCTTTAGCTTTTTCCTCTCGAGCAGCCTACCATTTGAACCCACAGATGGCGCAGAATATTTGTAAACTCTGAAGTTGGATTTTATCATTCTTAGTCAGCAGAAGCCCAGAAATTGCACAAGCTACCCTTGAATAACAGGAAATAATCTCTTGTCTTCAAGGAAAGAGCGAGACCTATTGATTTGGAAGCTACTCTAAAAAAACTTGGAGACTTTTGCGCCCCCCGCGCCCCCCCCACGTTCGAGTCAAAGGTAAAAACAACAAAACAAAACAAACAACAATAAAATCAAACAAACAAAGACTTCACTATGTACGTTCTTGGCTCTATCAGGGTTTTGCCTCACAGCTGCTGTTTGTAACAGCAGATGGCACACTGTTGATTGCAAGTATTTGAAATAACATGTTTCTTTCACAATGAACACTTTGGCGTTACCCTTAAAAAAATATGTCGGATATGTAGGTGGTTGAAGTTTCAATATTGCTGACTGAAAGTTCTTGTTAGACCCACTCTACAAAACAATTCACTAATATATCTTCAATGATGGAAAGAGGGACCATGGGGGGCGCCATTTCAAACTCCCAATGAAAGAAGCAAGATAGATGAAGGAGGACACAATTGTTCCTAGGAACAGCGATTGACCCTCTCAGCCCTTTATGAAAGTGTCCCACCATTTCACCCCATCACATACACAGTAGTGAGGACCAGCATTGAGCCTGGTGTGCCTTGTAGACAGGGTGTTTAAAAATGTTTGACCATACACTAATGCACCATGTGAACATCAGTTTCCACGACTCTTGAGACCAGAAGACCTAGATGGTGTCTGGCTACTACTATCAAGAGATCTGAAAGGGATTGCATTAGAGGGTTCTGGGTGGAGTGGTTGAAAATGTGGAACACAACTCAAACCCGTAAAAGGGACCAAGTTTATTGGTGCAGTGGATTGTTGGAAGCCCTGAGACTAGGAGCCATAAGTTAAAAAATAAAAAGTTGATGCTCCAGAATCGTGTCTCCTGGGGACCACATGCACCTTTTAAAATGGGGTCAAACATATACAAGGGGACTTCCGAAAGTTTATGAGAAAAGGGAATGAAGAGATAATAAAATTTTTCTACAAATTTTTGGAAGCCCCCTTGTACAGCCACTGTCTTTAAGAGTTACATTCTTTAAAAAAAAAAAAAGAGTTACATTCTTTGCTTATAGAAAATTTAAGTTTCACTTGCAGCCATGGCCTTTTGTGTTTTCCCTCCCTCCTGCAGAGTTGTTCTCCCACTCAGCAGCCCCTCCAGGGCAGTGGAGGGAACGATCACACAGACAAGGAGTGAAAGCAGGTGATCTCATTCCCTATACGCCAGGCTGCTCTTTCTGACCACTAGGAGTTGGTCTGGTTATTCAAAGAAGGCCTGTGACTCACCTGAGAGTTTGCCCTCAATCCACTCTCTTAGTCACTCATGTGTAAACCCTCTCCCTTCTTCTCTTTCATCACCTATCAAACAGATAACCAAGGCTCTCAGATGATTCGTCTTATGATCTAAACCCATGGGCTGTCAGGATATTCCTCCATACCTGGGGAGCCATACGGGCCCAGAGAACTGTGTGACTGACCTTCAAACTTTCCTGGCAAAGAGTCAGTGGCCCGGGCCTTCCGCTTTTTCTTCTTCCTCTTGTCACTCTCTGCGATGGGAAGGGGCTCACTGCTGCCCATATCTGAGAGATAAGAGAAGATGGAAGGCAGCATTACTGGATTGATCAAGCGACACATTTACGCTGGGGGGGGGGCGGGAGGGGGAGGCACTCAGGAGCTTGACGCTGATGGGTTTTAAACATCTGTGAGGACTACTGATTTGTTTTAACCCAGGAGGCAAAACTAAAGGTAAAGTCATTATAGGAGATCATTAACGATGGATAGGAACTCAGACAGGTAAGCTAGATTAAAAGAGGCTAGCTGACCAAGCTTGAACCAAGCTCATTAGCTGGAACCAAGCTCATTAGCACATGGATTTACATCTGCCACCAGCCAAACACTATGAAGGGGGCTTCAAAAAGTTCATGGAAAAATGGAATTAAAAGATAATGGAAGTTTCCCATGAATTTTATGAAGTCCCCTTGTATTCCTCAAACAGAACAATAAATCCATAAGCAGAATTCATTTGTGACATCCTCCAGCCTCAGCACCAGAAAAGCGGGGCCAGAAAGCCAAGCAAGAAAGGGTGGGGAGTGGGAAGTGGGGGTAGCATCCATGGGGATGAAGTCACATGCTCAGCTCAGTAACAAGTGCTGGGTGTGCAGCGGGATGCAAAGGGCCTTCAGTGTGATTGTCTATGTGAAAGTAGCAATAAGGGATGGACCTGGCTTGAGAATGGCCCCAAATTACAACATGTCCAAGAGCACAGACTTGAGTCCTGTGCAGTCCATAGTGTCTTGCCTCCCCAACCCCTACTGCCTTCATTTGAGAGGACACAAGTTGGGCTCATACGGAAGACTGCAGGTGACAGGTCTAGGCCAGGATGTTGGATGAGGTTGCTTATTGCAAAAGGGTTACTATCCTTTATTGGCAAGCACCTGGCTCCCCTTCTTAAAGGGTGGATGGCTAAATCAGACATTCAGACACTCGACAGACTGGGCAGGAAAGAGTCTAAACAGAAAGAATATGCAGGAGAATGAGATGGGGAAAGAGAAAAGGAGGAGTAATGAGTCAGTGCCCAATCACAGAGCTGTTTCTAAGACACTCCAGGAAGGGGCCTTCCCCTGTTAAAGATAAATTACTTATAGAACATGTCATGGCCCTGTTCCAGAGTGGAGCCTTAATACTCTTTGCCTGCAGTTAGAAATAATAAGATTTCTCTGAAGTCTCTGGGTCTAAATCCCCACTAGGGTGATTAAACCTTTACATCCTTCTAAAACAGAGGCACTCGAGTGCTGATGGGGCATTCGAAGCGAGAGACTTTTCGACCAACCTTCAATAAACACAGACTCTGGGTGGTTGGCTTTTTTTTCCCTCCCTGAGATTTTAAAATGGAAGCTGGCTTTCTCACCATTGAGGGAAAGGCCTACTCGCTTCTCAGAGACCCGGGCTGAACACGAGCAGAGAAACGGCAAGGCAGCTCAGCAAGATTGATTAGCATGGGTGCGTGTCTATGCACCGTTCTCGGGAACAAGGACGCACCAGCCATTAGGAGAAAACACTCAGGATGGCACTCTTCAATGCCACAATCCAGAAGGCATAATTAGGCAGCCAGGTGTTTGCCAGCTCAATTTGGGGGCATTCTTCCTTCCATTCTGGGGATCTGATAACAGATTTTAGGTACTTTTGAATGCACAGCAGATAAGCAAATAGATAAAAGGAATGCACGAGGGTTTCAAACTATTACTCCAGCTAGCAGCTTCAAGCACTCAGGGGCCTTCAAGAACAATGGATTCTCTGAGGACTGCAACCTCCTAAGAATCTCGATACACTAGTACCCAAACAAACCCCCACCAGGTCAACTTACAATGAAAAAGGCTGCCCAGATACTGAACATCGTGAGAAATTCTACAGGAATATATTCTTCAGGCCTTCACGAAGGGAGGGAACACTGATCAGGGGAGGCAGCAGGCTAAGCCTGTGGTGGCTCAAAGCCCCCTCAGGCAGTCCTGGCTCCCTTGCCCTGTCCTTGTGTGCAGTCTGGTGTCAAGCCTCGGCCCCATCTATTTTCCCATCAGCACTGCAAGTGGAGCACAGTGGATAGATTCTGGTCTCACCTCCCTTTCTCCTTCCCCTGCCCACACTCGGGTGGAGGGCTCAGGGCAAGGAAAATAGCCAAAAGGCAGGCAAGGCAGAGGAGCGGCAGGAGAGCTGGCGGCATTATAATTCACGGGGGATACAGAGACATACTTATAGCTCTAGCAAGAAAACCCTGTTAGCGGCAATTTATACTTGGCTTTTACCATCGCCGGGCTGGGGAGCCTCTTGCGAAAGAAGCATACCTCTGGGCACCGCCACACACTCACTATTAGATTTTATGGCTTTACACACACAAAGACAGAGTACCTGGTCTATTCTGCATGGATTTCAATGGAAGAACATGCGCCAGAAGGGACAAATGGTTAAGGTTTTCCTTGGAAACAGAACTTGTTGAAGGAGAGTTGTTTTTGAAACTAGGAAGGAAAAATTGTAGGAAGATGGTAAAGTGAAAGAAGTAAGCGCTGACTTCCTTATTGACAACAAGGGTAGACGAGGTGTCACAATCTTACTAAGGGGCTGGCACTTCCCCATTAGGAGCCTGTCTACACACTGTTCTATCAGAGAATCCACTTGCAGGGTCAGTGGCTCGTCAGTTCATTTACTCATGCAATCACTGGATAGATGTTTCCTCAGGGTGCAAGCCCCCACAATCAAGCTGGACCTCCGCACATCTAGTCCCCAGAACCTAGGAATTCTTCTCAGTCATCAAACCCCAGCTCACATATTCCTTCCCCTCTGAAGCCCCCGATGGCTCTAGATGAGTTAAGGTCTGGAAATCATTATTCAGCATTAGCAAACACTAGGGGGGTTTACAAATCCCTTACCCTTTATCGTATTTTTCCACTCTAGTGTTCTGAAGCCCCTTTGTATATGCTATGACTGCACAGAATTAGAGTGAGTGCTCCAGCCTTGGCTCCCAAGGTCCACTAGAAGCACGGCTTGTATTTGGCCTTGAGCATTCTCCCCTCCATGTTTCTGAAGGCCAGGCTGTTCTCTACCTACCTCTGTCACTCCCGTAAGTTGTGGCACAACGTCAGAAGTATCGGCCACTGAAATGAAGCATATAGGTACTAAGTATTAGGCATAGTGTGTGCCATACCAACCACTTAAGTACCAAGTACACCCACTGAAAGAAATGTGGGCACACCTTGACCCTGCAGGTGTGTTCTACGAAGTCTCCAACAAACTTCCTCTCAAAAAACTCTAGGCCCTAAAAGGCCGTAAGTCTAGCCCTGACTAATGGACCAGGCAATGTGTCAGCTATTTCAGGGGAGGAAGTGAGCACTTCTAGATTTTCACCCAGAACCCAACTGAACTGGAGGCTCCCAGCACTTCTGCTGCCTCCAGCTCTTGCCTTCAATGGTCCACATTTGCTTGGCCTGGTAGCACGGGAGTTGAGGAGGGTGCACACTGGGCTTGGAATCAGGAGACTAAGGTCAAAGTCCTGTTCAGAAATCACCAGATATGACACCAAGACCAGGTATATCTGCCACTTTAAGTCTCAGTTTTCCAATCTATAATGTAAGTTTAAAAATAATATCTGTCCTGCCCATTTCTCACATTTACTGTGAGAGTCCAGTAATACATTTAAATGATTGTGCTTCAGAAAACTTAGGTGTATGCACATGCACGCACACACACACACACACACACACACACACAGCACGCATACGCACGCACACGGATGCACAAAGTAGAAAGACTGGAAGGACAGATGCAAATATGTTCATACTGCCTCAGTTTTAAAGAGTGTATATTATCTGTCAAATGGTCTAGGTATTTGATATACATTATTTCGAAATCTCACAATGATCCCATAAGGTGAATTTTTGCGATATATCAGGTGAAGAATAGTTTACCAAATGTCAAACATCTAGTCTGTGGTTTAAATGGGATTCAGACACAAGGCTGTGCTGTCAAATCTAGGCTGTTTTTAATTAATAGTTTTCTCTGTGTAATGGGTAATTCTAGTTTCGTCTTTATATTTTTTCAGTGTTCTCCAAATTATACACAATGAAATCTATACTGATCATGAAAAAAATAAATGGTACTATCACTTTTATATATTATTAGGATCCTATTTTTAAAAGATAGCAAAGCTGTTGCCTCCAAATTAAATCCCACTCATAAGCAACCCTATAGGACAGTGTAGCATTGCTCCATAGGGGATCTAGGGTTCCTTTATCAGAGCACCTGATCACATCTTTCTCGAGTGGAGTGGCTGGTCGGCTTGAACCACCAACATTTGGGTTCAGTGCTTAGCCACTGTGCCACTGGGGTGCTTTAAGAGGCAACACTGTGCAATAAGAAAAACAATGAGGATTGTACAACTCTCCTCAATATGATTGAACTACTGAATTGTATGATGTGTGACTTATATGCCAATGAAACTGTTGGAAAATGTCAGGGGTAAAAATGCTCTGAACATTTAAGTCTGGTAAGACCAAGTTTATTTCCTGACTCTGCATCACTGTATGGGCTTTGGCAAGTTGCTTAGCTTCTTTGAGTACAGTTTCTTTAAAGATAAAATGAGGGTAAGAATAAGGCCTAGCAGGGGAACACTGGCAGAGGCTGATGGTAGGGAGAAGCAAAGAAGATACCAAGCTGCTGGGATGGCCAACAGAAAAGTGGGTGAAGGGAGACATCAGACATGGAAAAACAATAAGAATTTATCAATTATCAAGGGTTCACAAGGGAGAGAGGGTGGGGGAAAGAGGGGGGAAATGAGAAGCTGATACTAAGGGCTCAAGTAGAAAGAAAATATTTTGAAAATAATGATGGCAACAAATGTACAAATGTACTGACATGCAAAACAAAACCCTTCAATGCAGGAGGACAAATGCCATGATAGGGGAGTACCAGCTGCTGTGGAGAAGAGAGGCAGCTAACCCCATTGGTAATAAGAGACAGCTATGCTGACACTTGGAGAATAAGTAGGAGCTGGCCAGGTTGGGAGAGTGCCCCAGACACCGCGTGCTAGGTGGATACACCTGCATAAAGGCAACATGGCCAGTCAGTGTCACTGCAAATCATTTGGGTCGGCTGGAGCAAAGAGTAGTCAAGACAGTGATGGAAAATCGACTGCAGGGGCAGGTCGGGGTAGACCATAAATAAGAGTCTCATCATCGTAGGTAATCATCGATATTTCTGTTCCTAGGTATACGCTCACTCTGTTTTGTCCACATTTCTTATTCTGTTTTCTCCATTAAAATAAAAGTAGGATGCGTGCTCTCTCTTTGTGAAACCTGCTCTTTAACAAGTATGGATTGGTTGTACTAGCACTGCAGTAGGTGTTACGGATAAAGATCCAAGAATCAATCTGGCTCCTTCATGGGGAAAGGGCCCCAGAGAACTCACAGAGCAGAGGAGGAGGGGTGGAGGGGTCACACCTAGAGGGGTTACAACAACAGGTACACCTGACATGCAAGTATCCACCCACTTGTCTCCTGCCAAGATGACCCCAAGGCTGCCTGCTGAAAGAATTATGTCCTTTCTCCATAGAGTGTTATGAACCACACTGTCCCCAGAGTCACCAGCTCTGATAACTACGAGGGCAAAGCTTCCTGGTAAGAACACGGTTTCGCTGGTTAACACAGCTCTCTGCCCGCTTAGCTCATGCTCCCAGCCACCTGAGTTCTTTTTAAGTCTATGATTCACTGTCTTCTTCCCAACCTGTAAATTATTTTCCTCAGTCAGACGAGCTTTCAAGGAAAGGATATCAATGAGAGCAAGCTGATGTGTATAATTACCAGTTCAGTTCTCAGCCAGCAGCTACCAAAGTGCCCTGAAACAAATGAAGAGCTAAGAGAATGAAAAGAAACCGAGAGAATGACAATGGGACCTATTCTTGTTGGGGAGACTAGGTTCAAAAAACATGGGGCAAAAGAATTAATAATTTGTAAATTATCAAGGGTTCATGAGGGCTGGGGGAGCGGGGAGGGAAGGGAAAATGAGGAGCTGATACCAAGGGCTCAAGTAGAAAGCAACTGTTTTGAGAATGATGAGGGAAGCAAATGTACAAATGTGCTCGACACAATGGACATATGTGTGGATTGTGATGGGAGTTGTACAAGTCCCAATAAAATTATTTTAAAAGAAAAAAGAAAGGAACAGAGGAAAGGCCTGGGGAAAGTGACCGCAGAACACTTACTTCTTCGGAGCAGTACAGTAGTTACAGTACACGCTACTGCTATCATCTGTATGGGGGCTTCAAAAAGTTTGTGGGAAGATGCCATTATCTTTTAATTCCCTTTCTCTGCAAACTCTTTGAAACCCCTCATAGTACACACAAGCTTTTATGGTGTTGGCTGTACGCCAGGTGATCTGCTAAGCATTCTGTAAATACTCCACTATACATATACTGACTTCTTTAATCTTCACAGCTGTGAGGTAGTTTTGTTTTCCACATTTTACATATGAAGACACTGATACAAAGAGAGTAAGTGATTTTTCTATAGTCACATAGTAAATGGCAAAGCTGGATTTAAATCTAGATAGCTAGTTTAGAATGTAACAATTTTACTGTATTTAAATATTAATGCTGAAAGGCAGAAGGAAGGTAGTCAGAAAAAATTAGCCAGGTACCAGCAAGAATGTTTTTCTTTAGAAACCTAATACAGAGCTTCCCTACTGATGTGCTGTGAATGGAATATTGATCCTCTTATCAGCCCTCCACTCCATGGTCTCATTATTTACTCAAGTGTGCTGAACAATACCACTTCCACTCTGTGTCATAATGTCAAAAAAGTTGGGCAATGCTGCTCTAGCTTATTATATACAGGGCTTACTACCACATTGTCATTATTATACTAAAGTCGAACTGATCAGGGCCTTGTTCTGAGGTCAATTTGGATAAGTGAGCTTCAGAAAGTTCATGGACAAATGGAATTTGAAATCAGGAGATTTTTCCACAAAGCTTTGGAGCTTTCTTCATATTTTGTGTTTTGATGAAAGATGAGCTACAAGCCAAAGTCCAACAACCTTATTTCATGGAGATTCTGGTATCATGCATAAGGCTTATGTACTCCTCTGTCTGACCCATTTGTTGGTTGATTGATTTCTGATGGCATCATTACTGTGTAGGGCAAGCACAAGAAAAGGGTACACTTTTTCAAGTGGAAGCTAGTCAAATTTTACACACGATGGATGAAAAGAGTCACTGTGAAATGAGCCCATTCATAAGGCAATCTGTCTGCAAATGTGATGTTAAGGGACTGAGGTACTTCATAGGTGTCCCCTATAAATTCTGGGCAACTTGCAGAATGAAGTAATCTGATAAAAAAAGAGAAAGCAGGAGGAAGGAAGCAGGAGGAGATGATGGCACTGTGGAGGGACGGGAGGGGAGGACAGCAAGACCTGTTAGGACAAGTGGTTTGAGGTAATGGTGAGACACATCTGGTCTCCAGTTAGAGAGCCTTTTTAGAAATTTTGGCACAAGGGCTCAGAACATTTTAATTCACTTTTCAGATAACCCTGAGTATTCTTTGATATGACACCCAAACTCAATCAGTGATAATATATAAAGATCTGCAGTAAGGAATCGGAAACTCTTATCCATGAACTTTTCATACTTTCTTATAATAAAATCCATTGGTCTATCTTGTACTTTGAAAATATTTGTTCTTGTACAAGATTTTATAATGCCATATTGTCATGGACTGAATTTTGTCCCTCTCAAATCTGCATCAACATGGCTGGGCCATGAATTTCAGTGGTTTGATAGTTATGTAATGATGATTTGGCAGTTATATAATGGCGTAAGTTGGCAGTTGTGTAGTGATGTAATCATTCCTCATGATGTGTTTTGATGTGATCAGCATAATATTATGTAAATTTCCCCTCACTTTGAAATGACTGAACCAATCCCTACTCTGGAACCAATGTCTACTCCAACAAATTCTTCATCACAATCACTCTCACCTGCTGCTTTTAAATCACTTTTCTTGCACTAAAACCAAAAACCAAACTCAGAGCCATTGAGTCAATGCAAACTCATAGCAACCCTGTAAGACAGGGCAGAACTGCCTATGAGTTTCCGAGACTAACTCTTTTTTTTTTTTAAGACTAGAACACTTTACGGGAGTAGAAAGTCCCATCTTTCTCCTGCAAAGTGGCTGATAGTTTTGAACTGTTGATCTTAAAGTTAGCACCCCAAAGTGTAACCACTACGCCAATAAGGCTCCTTTTTGCATTAAAGTAAAACTAAATAAGAGTTGTACGCATCTTTTTTCATTTACCTTCAAACTGGGCTTAAAGACACACTTAGGGACAGATCTCATATGTAATCTAGGGGTTTCCTGTAATGTCTAATGTCGGTATACATAATAAACTAAACAAAACAACCCCAAGAGACACATCTGAACTAATTATCAATGATCACATCTAAAGATAGAGCCTGGGTGGGTGTGAGAATTTCACACTCTTATCATATTTTGTTATAATGTGGTTGCCCTGTTGTTAAAAGCAATGAAATACATTTTACTTACTACATGGTTTTCCTTATAACTGTCTCTGCAGTTTTTTTCTGGTGGAAACGTACTCCTTCCCACTAAGCAACAATTTTCGGTACAACAAGCAGCCCAGCTAATCCTCGGAGCATGACGAACTACTGAAAACATCATCCGCTTACACAATCCCGGCCCGTCTGCCCTCAGGAACGATCCGTCAGTTTCAACTGGAAGCAATGTAAGAGCAGAAGTAAAACATACATCCAATCTTACCTATAGGTTTGTCCAACTTTCGAGAAGTGAACGCTGTATTGAACTGGACTTCCCAATGAAGTAGTGCCCTGTCTGGGGTGGGTGTCTTCCAGCTATAGGAAGCATTTCAATAGTCTGTGTGGGACAGACATTCTTCTGTTCTCTGTCTTCCTTTTTTTCATCATATCTGGGAGGATATTCTTCAAAAAGCAGAAACCGAAAGGATATAAAAATGCTTGGCTTCTTTTAGAGAGCCTGCGAGGTTAAAGATCAATGTCAGTGCTGTACAAGCCTATATGTTACACCAATAAATTCATGTAACACAAGGCAAGTGTAGGTTTCCTGTCTCTTAACTCAGACCCGTGAGCATTTCTAAAGTCTCAAATGACTTACCAAGAGTCTGAATGAAAGTTTCAGGATTCTATTCTCTTGTGGGATTCCAAACCCCAGATGACAGAGATGAACCCCTCTGCTATAATGTGGTTGACTCTCAAGGAGAAGGTGACCGCTGACACCTTTCAGCTGCCCACTTCTTTTCAAGATGAATGAGCTCTGGCTTCTCCTCCTAGTGGCCAGGTCCAAATCTCATGGGCAAGAGATAATAAGGCCAGGAAGATAAAGGAGATGCTGAGAGCAGCAAGTGGCATGAACGGGAACAGGGCTTTATGCCAAATGCCTAACTATTCCTGGTTTTAAATCTGGTGACTTCATTTTCTGGGTGCTATTTTTAGGTCCTTACAAGTGATAGCTCCAGCTATCACTTCAAAGTTGCTATGTCAACTGCTGCTCTGTGAAATATGCACTTCCCCCTTTCCCAATGGAAAAGCCCTGGATAGGGCAGCTTAAATCTGAATTAAATCTGGGCCCTTGTGTCAAAATTTCTAAAAAGGGTTTCTAACTGGAGGCCATATGTGTTTTACCATGACCTCAAACCACATGTCCTAACAGGAATCACCGCCCTCCATTGCACCTCCTCATCTCCCACCCCAGCCCCCACCTACTGCCTCCTTCCTCCAGATTTCTCTTCTCTATCAGATTAAATCATGCTATGAGTTACCCAGTTATATAATCTCTATGGCATCTCTAATATCCTTTCCCTGATCCTCATAAACTCCACATGCTCATGACTGTCAGATATTGCCATGCTGATCCCTCAATCTGGTATATAGCTCCTTGGAAAATAATTTCTATCGATCCTTCAAGGCCCATTGCAAATTACATCCTGCATGAAGTAACCCCAACTCTTTCTTCTACTTCTTCAGCATTTACTCCATCCCACCAAACCAAACCCACTGCTATTGGGTTGCTTCCAACTCATAGGAATCCTACACACGGTTTCCTAGATTATAAATCTTTACAGGAGCAGACAGCCTCATCTTTCTCCTGGGGAGTGACTGGTGACTTTGCACTGCCAATCTTGTGGTTAGCAGCTCTGGGTCTAACTCGCAGCACCATCAGAGCTCCTTTCTCCAGCCCACATTATACCATTAGTTATAACACTGCAGCGATGGGCAGCTTTCATGTGGCCTTCCTCATCATGGTGTTGAAACTCCCACAAAATGAATGGGTAACCTATACAAATAAGGTGTGTGTGGTACACCAAGGGAGATAGATTGCTAATTGCATAAACAAGGTCTGTGGCAACCTTGTGATGATGGGATCATACAAATCAGGTATATGGAACCCTATTGAGGAGATTGGTCAGTTTTGCCATCCCACTAGACTTTAAATGAGGCATTCCAGAGGTGGAAAGAAGACAAGAAAGCAAACAGCAGCCTTTGAACCAGAGTAGCCTGCCCTGAGAACATCCTAGACACAGAGACCAGAGAGAGGAGAGAGCCGTAACAATGGAGACAACACAAGATGATGAGAAGGAGTGGCAGACGAACAGCAGCAGTAGAACCAGGAGACGAGTGTCAGGCAGCACTGTCGTCACCTTGTTGTTGTGAGGTGCCATCAAATCAGTTTAGATCCATAGCGACTTTATGCACAACCGAATGAAACACTGTCCAGTCCCACACCACCCTAAAAATTGTTCCGATTCCTGAGCCCATTGTTGCAGCTACTGTGTTGATCTATCTTGTTGAGGGCCTTCCTCTCCACCAAGGACCTAGATCTTCACTTAGGGCCCTCTTCACCCACAGCCTATAAAGCTAGGTGACGCCAGTGACCTATGGAAAGATTAAGTGCCTGCAGGCAGGAGGCTTTCTGGAGGAGTGTGATACCATGGGCACTTACTTAATAGTGCAGCTCTGCAAAACTTGCCCCAACAGGCTAGGGATTGAGGGGTCAAGACACTGAGGGTCAAGGAGAGTGCTGCTCACAGAGAAGTGGTTTGTCATGCCCAAAGAACAGTCTCCTGAGTTGTTCCTCTTCCTGAATTGTAACCTGTTACTTCCCTACTAAACCTCTCAATTGCGAAAATGGTTTGTGAATTCTGCATGGCCACTGTAACAAATGATCAGAGAAGTAGAGAGTGGGCAGTTCGGGAGGGATGACTGGTGTCGACCGGAGAGTGGAGGTGTATGTTCAATGTCCATCTCCTAAGAATGAGCCCACAGGCTGATGCTGACTTTCCTCCTTCACGTGGCCCAACTTCCCCGTGCCATTTTCACAAACAAGCAAAGCTCACTAGCCACATGCGTGTGTGGCTCTCCCATCAGGCCATAAGCTCCTGAAAAACAGGGATATATCTTTTTATCTTTGCATTTGTGCCATTTAAATTAGTATCTGGCACAGAGAAGCGCTCCAGTAAATACACGAATGACTTTATACAGAAACTATCCCCTTATTGTCCAAAAGAGATGTTAGGACATACAGTAATCTGTTCTTTGTGCTTTTTATTCCCAAATGAATCTGTGACCTAATGAAACTACTTCTGGGGCCCATGAAAGCTCAGGTATATCCCTGCCTTACCGCAACCATAATTCCAGGGACAGCCTTGGACTACTTGAACTTTTTGGCTTTAGTTTTACCATAGATTTAAACTCCATTTGGTCTCTTCTTGTTGCCTACAAAAGGATCCCTGGTGCTGCAATGATTAAAGCACTTGACTGCTAACCAAACGGTGGTTCAAAACTGCCAGGAGTTCCAAGGAAGAAAGATGGAGCAGTCACCTTCTGTAAAGATTCACAGCCTTGGAAACCCTAAGAGGCAGCTTTTTGGAACTGACTCAGCAACAGTGGGTTTTAGTCCAGGCAGTACAGTCGGGTAAGCATTAGACTGTTAACCATGAAGTCGGCAGTTCAAAACCACCAGCTGCTCCTCAAGAGAAAGATGAGGCTATCTACTCCTGTAACGATTTTACAGCTGTGGCAGTCCTAAATAGAGTTGCTATGAGTCAGAAATGACTTTATGGCAGTTGGTTGTTGTTGTTTTTAATAATAGGGGTAAGCAAATTACTTTTTATATAAAGAGCTAGATAGTAATATTTTAGGCTTTGCATGTCATAATGTCTTTGCTCAACTACTCAATCCTGCCTTTGTAGAGAGGAAGCAGACATCAATTAGAGGGAAACAAATGATCTCAGTTCTACTCCAGTAAAGCTCTGTAGAAACTGAAATTTGAGTTTAATATAATTTATGTTATGAAATATTAATCTTTTGGTTCCTGTCCCCCCCCAATCATTAAAAAAATGGCTAAGTTTGCCTTCCCCTTATCTACTATAAAAACCCTCCAAACTCCTTTGTGGACTTCTCGTACTTCATACAGAGTATTATTCAGCTGTGGAGTCATTCTAGTGCTGGGGAAACAGAATGTACACAAGGCCTAGACGCAAACCCTGGCTCTACCACCTACCTCTCTGTGCTTCACTGTCATCTATAAAATAGGAGTAATAATACATACACTATTGGGTTGCAGGGAGAACTAAAGGGGGTAACATATATGAAAGGAACCTTAGTGGAGCTGTGGGCCAGGTACTGCCCTGCTACTTACAAGATCAGCTGTTCATACCCACTAGCCGGTCAATGGGATAAAGATAAGGCTGTCTGCTCCTGTAAAGATTTACAGTCTCAGAAACCCTATACAGCATTGCTATGAGTTGGAACCAACTCGATGGTGGTGGGTTTTAGGTTTGGTTTAATGTACATAAAGCTCATGGCACAAAGAAATGCCTGGTATATGGTAGGCACTCAATACATGGTACCTATTTATTTAGCTTGTGGGTCAGCAAGGAGATCAACTATAGCTCTGGAAGCAACTGGGCAACAGGAGGGGATAAACTGATTACGAAGTACTGAGAGAGAATTTGGAGGTTCCAAGGTCCATGACCCACCCCAGATTCTAAGTGCCTAGTTGCACTGATAACTTCAAACAGCATCTCAGATTTACTGTACCACTTCTGCTCAGCAAGAACTCCCGACTGTTATAGAAGAATATGTAGACAAGGTGTTGAATGGAAAATCAATTTACTCTGTAAACTTTCACCCACATCACAGTAAGATACTTTAAAAAAAAAGAAAGAAAGAAAAGAATTCCTGACTCTCTCACTGTTGGAGTCTACTTAGCATTCCTTACCAAACACACACAGCTGGGCCTGGCATGGTCTCTTTATCCTGGCATGACTTCCAGGCACAGGTCTAGAGGAGGTGGAATGTGGCCAGACCAAGTTCCCACTGGAAAGCTGGGTCTTTAATGTCTGGACTGGCCAGGTCCCCTAGTGCTGTCAATTTTTCATCAATTCGCTGATGTATGAAGAATAAAATTCTCCAGTGCTCAATAACTAGACTTTCTGTTGAACTTTTAGGGCAAAACAAAACCATCTTAG